GTACCCAAAGCCACTGATCTGACTTTAGCTCAAAAACTCGTTGATACTCATCTCGGCAAACATCCCAACTTCGAGAAACCGAAACCACCGAAAGGTTAAACAAAGCGAAGCACATTTTGCCATGAAGCATTACGCCGGTACTGTACGTTACAACGTCATGAACTGGTTGGAGAAAAACAAGGATCCACTTAATGATACTGTTGTTTCTGTTATGAAAGCATCCAAAGGAAATGACCTTCTGGTGGAAATATGGCAGGACTACACAACGCAGGAAGAAGCTGCTGCCGCAAAAGGTTCGTAGTTTTTCAGAATCATCTGTCTCATTTATATGTAACTTTTTGGAGTTCTAGAATTTTTACGAGAAAAAGAAGTTGTGAAATCATATTTTATTCTGAATTTTGTAGTCCTAGAATCCAGTAAAGATGTGTCGATAAACACTAATTGGCAATACCAAAATCAATCCAAGCTACTTCAGTAGGCTTGCTTTCAACATTGCTTGCTTGCTCAGTGCAGCACTTCTTTCCATGATAGCGTGACTGCTTAGGTACGAGAAGTTTACAATGTCAGTCAGAAAAATTCTTCACTAAATTTTATTTACTTGTAAATATAGTCATCCCATTTTACCGATAAGACTTACCGCATATAACACCGCTCAAACAACATCTTCATTGTGTGGTTGTAGTCACTGAAACATTTACAACCATCATTTCATCAGTTTTAAGCATCATTTCAACTTCACATTACTCTATGATGCCAAAGACTATTTGTGATGATAAAAGTGATACACATATTCTGTGCGTGCTATCATAATTCGAGAACTTCTATTTTTCAGTTTTACGAATGTTGCAAATTTTATTACGTCAGTTCTTTCCACATTGTAATCAGTTTAATGTTTCAGATGGAGGCGGTGGAAAAAAGAAGGGTAAATCAGGATCGTTTCTAACAGTTTCCATGATGTACCGAGAATCCTTGAACAGTTTAATGAGCATGCTGAACATGACGCATCCACATTTCATCCGCTGCATCATTCCAAATGAAAAGAAGACTTCTGGACTTCTTGATGCTGCTCTGGTTCTAAACCAGCTTACTTGCAACGGTGTATTGGAAGGTATTCGCATATGTCGTAAAGGTTTCCCAAATCGAAATTTGCATGCCGATTTTAAACAGCGTTATGCAGTTCTTGCTGCTAAAGAAGCAAAGAGTGAGGACGATCCGAAAAAGTCTGCTGAAGTGATGCTCAGCAAACTTGTAAATGATGGAGCATTAACGGAAGAAAATTTTCGTGTTGGTAAAACAAAGGTTTTTTTCAAAGCTGGTGTTTTGGCACATCTGGAAGATCTTCGAGATCGGAAACTTGGCGAGGTTCTTACTGGATTCCAGGCTAAGATTCGTTCCTATATAAATTTAGACGATCGCCGACGACGCATGCATCAACGCCATGGTTTATTGGTTTTACAGCGGAACATTCGTGCGTGGTGCGTGCTGCGTACCTGGGACTGGTTCCTTATTTACGGAAAAATTAAGCCTATGCTTAAATGCGGCAAAGAAGGGGAAGAAATCGAGAAAATGAATAAACAAATCAAAGAGCTGGAAGAAAATATAGCGAACGAAGAAAAAGCTCGTAAGGAATTGGAAAGCAATTCTACGAAATTACTTGAAGAACGAAACAATGTTTTCAATGAACTAGAAGCGGCCAAGGCACAACTGTCTGATGTCGATGATCGTCTCAATAGGCTGTCGGCACTGAAAACCGATGTTGAAAAACAGATTCATGTTAGTTTATTTCTTTCTAAACAAATACTGCTGTACTGAAAAGGCGTTGGAGATTTGTGAACTGGCTTATAAATAGCTAAAAAAATTTTAAATTCGAAAAAAAATTACATGGCAATTTTTTACTCTCACGAGTATTTATTATTACAGGAACTGGAGGAACGACTTGGAGACCAGGAAGATCGTAATTCTGATTTGTCACGCTCGAAGAAAAAGATCGAAAATGACGTTGAGAATTTGAAAAAAGCAATCGCAGATTTGGAAACTCGTTTGCAAAAAATAGATGCGGATAAACAAAGCCGTGAGCAACAGATTCGGACGTTGCAAGATGAAATGCAGCAGCAAGATGAAAGTATTGCTAAATTGAACAAAGAGAAGAAGCATCAGGAAGAAATTAATCGGAAACTGATGGAAGATCTCCAAGTTGAGGAAGACAAAGGAAATTATAGTAACAAATTGAAGGGTAAGTTGGAACAAAGCCTAGACGATCTTGAGGACAATTTGGAGAGAGAGAAACGAGGACGTAACGAAATTGAGAAACATAAACGCAAAATTGCGGGTGAATTGAAGGTTGCTCAAGAGAATATGGAAGAGATTGAAAGGCAGAGACATGAAATTGAAAATAATCTGAAGAAAAAGGAAGCTGAAGCCCAAGCAATTATAACACGCTTGGAAGAAGAGCAGGATCTTGTTGGAAAGCTCAAGAAACAGGTTAACGAAACACAAAATCGCATAACAGAACTGGAAGAAGAATTGGAGAATGAACGGCAATCACGAAGTAAGGCGGAACGAGCAAAATCAGACTTGCAACGTGAACTGGAAGAACTGGGAGATCGTCTGGATGAACAAGGTGGTGCTACGGCTGCTCAAGTGGAAGTAAACAAAAAGCGTGAAGCAGAGTTGGCAAAACTTCGTCGTGATTTGGAAGAAGCTAACATGAATCATGAGAATCAGCTTGCGGCAATTCGTAAGAAACATAACGATGCTGTTGCGGAATTGGGTGATCAGATTGAACAGGCGCAGAAAGCGAAAGGTAAGATTGAGAAAGACAAGATGCAAGCGCAACGCGATGCCGAGGACCTTGTAGCACAAATTGACGGCGAAACAGCAGCAAGAATGAACAATGAAAAGCTTGCAAAGCAGTATGAGATGCAAATTGCCGAATTGCAAACCAAATGCGACGAGCAAAATCGACAGCTCCAGGAATTTACGACACTGAAGACACGGCTTAACAGTGAAAATAGTGACCTCGGGAAACAGATTGAAGAAACAGAGTCGCAGGTGAATGCAATGACACGACTGAAGGCTCAGCTGACATCTCAGTTGGAAGAAGCTCGACGTTCGCTGGATGAGGAAGCACGTGATCGTAACAATTTGGCAGCACAAATGAAAAATTATCAGCACGAAATCGAGCAAGTTCGCGAATCGATAGAGGAAGAAATTGAAGCCAAAAGCGAGCTGATGAAGCAATTGAGCCGCGCAAATGCTGAGATTCAACAATGGCAAACACGTTTCGAAAGCGAAGGTTTATTGAAAAGCGATGAACTGGAAGAATCAAAGAAACGGCAAGCGCAGAAAATCAATGAACTTCAGGAAGCACTGGATGCTGCCAATTCAAAGATTAGTTCCTTGGAAAAGACGAAGTCTCGTTTGGTTTCTGATCTTGATGATGCTCAGGTAATCTCCATCTCTCTCTCCTTTAATAATGCACAGGATTTATGTTTTCCTACAAAACTGTACAAACAATTTTAGTCTTAGATTTTGGAAGCTACGCTTGATTTTTTTCCATTCATATTTTATTCATTAGTTTTCATTTATATTCTAATTTATAATTCCAGATGGATGTAGAGCGAGCCAATTCATACGCAAATCAACTTGAGAAAAAGCAAAAGGGCTTCGATAAAGTAATCGATGAGTGGAAAAAGAAGACTGACGACATAGCTGCTGAAGTGGACAACGCACAACGAGAAGCTCGGAATGTGTCAACTGAACTGTTCAAACTGAAAACTGAACAAGATGAAGTTCTGGAAACGATTGAAGGTTTGAGACGTGAAAACAAGGAGTTGGCGCAAGAAATTAAAGACCTAACAGATCAATTGGGTGAAGGTGGTCGTTCTGTATTTGAAATGCAAAAGATAATTCGTCGGCTGGAGGTCGAAAAAGACGAGTTGCAGCATGCTTTAGATGAAGCCGAAGCTGCTCTGGAAGCCGAAGAAAGTAAAGTACTTCGGGCTCAGGTCGAGGTTTCACAAATAAGAGCTGAAATCGAAAAAAGAATTCAAGAAAAGGAAGAAGAATTCGAAAATACGCGCAAAAATCATCAAAGAGCAATCGAGTCTATGCAGGTGATCTGAGCTTCTTCGTTACTTCAAAAGATATATTTAGGAGTGACTGGAATCTAAAAAAAATGAATTTAGAACCAAAAACTTTAAAAGTACGATAGATTTCAAAAAATTGGAACTGTAGGGCAATTAATCACTTTAATTTTATTTCAGTTTTAGACTCTTACTTCCTACTATCTGTGAGGTATTCTGATATTTAAATTGCAGGAACTTGTTGATTTGTTGACAACTTAGATTTATATAACCAAATTCTCAGGCGTCACTTGAAAATGAGACGAGAAGTAAGGCCGATTTGGTGAGACTGAAGAAGAAATTGGAATCGGATATCAACGAACTGGAAATAGCTCTAGACCATGCAAATCAGGCAAACGCTGAAGCTCAGAAAAACGTAAAACGTTATCAAGATCAAATGAGGGAGCTACAGCAGCAGGTATGCATACTTGAAAGATATCTTCCACTGGTCATTTAAAATAATATGTATTTCCACAAAAAGTTTCGTTTCTTCTTTTCAAAATCTTGTAAGAAAAAGCACTTCATTCCAGGTCGAAATCGAACAACGTAATCGAGAAGAGATTCGAGAACAGTATTTGAATATGGAAAAGAAAGCAACCTTGCTGCAGTCGGAGAAGGAGGAAATGTTGATTGCAATGGATCAAGCAGAGCGAACCCGTAAGCAATCAGAACGTGATGCTAATGAAGCACATACCCAATGTAATGAGTTATCCGCTCAAGCTGAATCGCTGAGTTCCGTAAAGAAGAAGCTTGAGGCCGAACTTTTGGCGGTTCAAGCTGATCTGGACGAAACTTTGAACGAGTACAAAGCTTCAGAAGAGCGCTGTAAAGCAGCAAGTAGCGATGCTGCACGACTTGCCGAACAGTTGCGGCAAGAACAGGAAAATTCGTTACAGAATGACCGAATAAGAAAGGCTTTGGAGTCTCAACTGAAAGAGATGCAGGTGTCTTTGAAAACTTCTCCACTTTAAATTCTATTCCACTTTTTATCACTTCGAAGTTGACGAAAACTATAAAGCTGGATTTCTCATGCGGTACTTACGGTAATTGGAGTGCTTGAAATTAGCATTATTTTATAGCAATAATTTGTAAATTTCAGGCACGCCTAGATGAAGCAGAAGCCGCTGCTCTGAAAGGTGGCAAGAAGGTCATTGCCAAACTGGAATCTCGTATTCGTGAGCTTGAAAACGAACTCGATGGCGAACAGCGACGATATCAGGAGACAAATAAAAGTCTCACTAAACATGAAAGGCGTATCCGAGAGCTTCAATTTCAGGTTGTTCACCATTTACTTTGCGGTTTTTTTGATGACATTTTCTGTGCGAGACGGTAGAACGACACTTACTGCCTTTATTTCGACTAATTATAGGTAGATGAAGATAAAAAGAATGCTGAAAGAACAAGAGATCTCATCGAAAAGCTGCAGAACAAACTAAAATCACAAAAGAAGCAAATTGAAGAAGCCGTAAGTGCAGTTCAAATATTTAATATCTTTAACTTATTTAAATACTCAGTTTTCAAATCCCTCCGTATGAAATGGACTTCAGAGAATCATGCTGAAATGCTTCACGTACTTGCACATTTCATCCGCACTTGTGTCAATTTCCATGCCTTTCATTGAAATTTCAGGAGGAGCTGGCAAATGTAAACCTACAAAAATTCCGCCAAATACAGCATCAGTTGGACGATGCAGAAGAGCGTGCCGACCATGCCGAAAATTCGCTTTCTAAAATGCGAGCCAAAAGTCGCAGTGGTATGACAGCTTCGCCAGGAGTACAAATCTCCCAGTCGTCTATTCTCCGTTCCTCCTCACGCGCACAGTTTTAGTGGCTTAGATCAACTATCATTATTGCGTTCAACATGCTTTTTTTTCTTTGTGATCCGTACTAGTAACATTTTGCCCAATAATAAACGTTCATTACAACTTTTCTTGATGTTCGTCACTTTTCATTTACAGAAACACTATTACAAAATAAAAAATACCCTAGATTAAAAGAGAAACCCATCACAACTACTACACCGTTTTCAGCGTCCGAGTACCGACAGGATTTGTTTCGCTTATCAATTTTTCTGCCAGCGGTAGTCTCTGTTGCAATGCTTTATTCGTGACAGAACGATGTTTTTTTTTTCCGATTCCAGCAGTCCCAATTTTATTTGTGGAACTTGGCACTTAAATAAATGAGATTTATTAAATATAGATCACAAGGGTCACTTTCACATTCCTAAGTTAATGAAATATAATGCCAACGAAGATTAGCAAAGCAACGAAGACTAGTAATTAGCGAAACATCTGGACACATTGGTATTATTTCTACTTCCAAATCTAAACACCGCCACCAGACGGATTATTGTCCTGCTGGTTACGAACTGCTCGATCAGCTGCGACGGCCTAAATAGTTCACTTTCTGTTTACATGGAGCAAAAAGAAGCAAATTCAATCGCAATGCTTCATTTTAAAGAAAAAAAATCTTCATTTGCATTTTTTTAAGAAATTATAGTTGGAAAATGCGCTAACCTTTTCCCAATCTGTAAGCCGATCTTTCTGCGCATTACTGTCACAACCTATATGATCATTAGATTTACTGCTCCAGCTTGCTACTCAAAAGTAATTTATCCACAACATACAAATGATTGTTTAATTAAAATCATAAAAGTGCTTCAGAAATTTGATTTCGACCACAATGAGACGTAGTCACACTCCAAATATCTCTATTTCAAACTGCTTCTTTTGCAGTTACTGTTAAACAATTAATCCAAATATAATCAAATGTATTAATTAGTTAGCAGTCATTCCTACTGCGAGAAACGTTTACCTCTCTGAAACGTTCGACGCTGCTTTGCATACTGTGGCGGAAGATCCCACGACAGTCCATTATTCTCTAAAAGATACTAATAATGCATCATTGTCGGAATACTTTCCCTAGGAACTTTGGATTAAATTTGATAAAATTTTTATCATGGTTGGGAGCGAGAAAAATCTATTCAAGAAACACCGTTTTTTGATTTCTACTAGTTCTTTGCTAATCTAAATGGTAAGACATCAAAGATGCATTAATGGATCCTCCATTCACTGAACTTCAACTTTCATAATGGATAAGCTTTAAACTGAATTCAAATGACATAACAAATTACCCTCTCCATACGAATTTCGTGGCATCTGTTTATTTTTATCACTAGGAACAACAGCAAATACATTTTTAGCACTGCTGTCACTGCGTGGCCATTCTCTTTCTGGTTGCGTACTGCTACTTTGAAATCTGAACAGAAATAACAAAATGATGAGACTCAAATGACAAGAAAAAGATGCCAAACCATGTTAGTTCTATACAGTAAGAGGATCGAAATAAATCAATTGCCGTCCAAAGTTCTCCTATAAAGGAGAAGCATCATTTCTCAATAAAATCAAAAGGATTTAAGAAACAGTCACACTTTCTAGTCAGGATCAATGATTTGCAGAACAACTACTGAATATTAACTTCCAATCTCCAAAATTCCAATAACCTGGCTCCACTTTTTTGCATACAGTCCATCTTTGGAGAACGTTTATTATTTGTTACACGCGTGCCTGATCGACCCCTTGGATTGTTATTCGAAAAGGTAGCGCCCTCGAAATCATTTGTTCCCGTGTTCTGAGGTCTAACAGCAACGCTGTCTCCAATACCCTGAAGGTTAGTGTTCGTAAATGGCACTGGCCACATTACCGGAAACATCACTGCCATCATCATGGGCATCGCCATTGGAAAAACAGTTGGGTAGAAACTTGGCCTGAAATAATTCATAATGCATAAACATCAATCTCCTTCGCTTATTCCCGTGTAAGGAATCAAGAGTTACTGTGAACCTAAAACTTAAATTTAGACGACTACTTGTTTATGTTATTTTTAATTCATAAATCTAAACAGCAGTTCTCCCATTCAGAGTGAACTGACTCTACAAACTTTACATGGTTATTAAAACTTCTAAATTCCAGATCATAGCTGAGAATCAAGGACATACCAGAGAGCTCGAGGCTGTTGTGCCAACTCACGACCAGCAATACTTAATGTTTCCATCATCATCGATGTCATCAATTGTTGCTGACAGGTTTCAGTGACCAACTTCTTGCACGATGAAACCATTTCAGTCTCCCGCATATTGTCAACCATTGTTTCCCTTCCATTTATTTCTAAAAAAGAAAGTGCTTCAGTGGTAATCACATTAGTGGCGATAAGAATGATATGCGAATCTGGTGCATACTGACTTTTACTTCAATTCTACTATGAAACATACGTTGCTTACCGGCTGTGCCATCGAATCGACTTGACATAAAAGGAGGTCTCAATAAATCAACCGTATACACGTCTCGTGACGCATTTCCTTTGATAATTATTTCGCAATCAGCTCCCTTAATGAGATCCTGCAAATAAAGTACTCCAGTCGTTTGGAACTCATCATAATCTTCATAAGGAATGTTATATATGAAGAATATGAGAAATAATAAAATGGTAAGCATGTGGCGGCAAAAATTGAGAAATATCCAACAATAACTAACATTAGCGTGATAAGTGCTTGTTGTGTCTTCGCGACAATGTATCATTGCTACTGGCAAATTCCTAACAGGGTCAGACTGTAACATTTGAAATTAGAAAAAAAGACGGTCATCTGAAACTGGAAGGTATGATATTTAACGATTAATGCATTAGAACCAATAACACGCCAACCTATCAAGTCATATTAATTGGTTCGATTTAGGAAAAAAAATAATACTAACCTTATCCATGGTGGAAATGTCAAGGACATCATTAGCCAAGACCCATTTGAACCATCCGAAATCCACCAAAAAAACTGAGATTCTGAAGAAAACTTTTCTCTGCAGGAAACCAATTATAAATGCCAATATTAATTCAAACCCAGCTCTCCCTCCACTTATCCCAAAATATTCTTCATTTCTATCATAAGGATACCTCTTCGTGTGAGAATCGTACTGAGCTGGAACACCACGATAGAGAGATTTATAAGCAGTATCAGCCCGAGCACGTGCGATGCAAGGTGTCTGTCGCATTTGGATATCCTCACTTCTACGACTTACAGGAGGAAAACGCGATAATTTGTTCCCAACTTCCCTTAACGCCTAAAATCATTTTATGATCGTTAAAAGCTGTTACATTTTTAATATCAAGGACTAGCTCCACACTGATAACTTATAGTCTGCAAGATAACTGTTAAAAAAATGCTCCAACAACGAAATCAATCACAGCAAGCAATGCCTTTAGTAATATACAATGGGGTGCAAGTAATCCATTGTAGACAGACGGTTTTAGTATTTCTCTACTTGCGTGTTAAACGGATACGATTCAGTTAATGAGTTCAAATGTTCAATAAGTTGAAATAAATTGTTTCCGTATAATGCCTATCTCACACACCTTAATGAAATTGCGAGTTCTTTCTCAGGAGTATAAGAAAGCTTTAAAACTTACTCTTTCAGCAGCTGAGAAAATTTTCTTATTGACAACCCAGAAAGTGTTCATCATACGGTCTGTTTTGTCAAATCGAGCAGATATTTTCATCGGCAGCATTTCAGGTATATACTGTTTGAACGCTGTCTGATTAAACAGAGTCCCCATCTAAATTAGGTTTTCAGAAATTGCGGAATAATAAAAGTAATAACAATTATAATAATTAATAGTAATAATAACTAATAATAATAATAATAATACTAGCAATAATTAATGATTAACAACTAAATTAATAATTAATAATTAACAACTAGTAGTTAATAATAACAATAATAATAATATTATGCTGAAGGTTGAACAACTGTAAGATCAGAGAGCAACTGCTGAGAGAAGTGAACTTAAGATTGCAAAAGATAACGATCACAAAGTCTCTATTGACTTTTCTGTATTTTGCTGGGATAGAGATGAAACTTTGAAAAAAAAAAAACCTTGATTCTATCATGCTCCACGATGAATCCTGTGCCCATACGAACATCTAAGAAAAGAAACACTATTATTTAAGAGGACGTTATTATGAAAAAGAGTTGCTAAAAAGCTTTTTTTAAAAGATAAGCAGAAGTCAGTAGAGAATTAAAATGTTGTCACGTTTCTCTTTTTTTGGAGTAGCGAAATCATTTCCGTCTGGAAACAACAATCGTGCATTGGCATTTATTTTGAATCCGGTCTGAAATTTTTTTTTTATGAAATTCATGTCCACGACTACGGGCGCATCTTTTGAAAACGAAGCACTTAGAAATTTGAAAAATTCCTACTTTCTGAATAAACGGACGAGGAAAAGTCGACTCGCTACTTGCGCTAGAACTATCATCCATCTGTCCAGCTTGTAAATGTCCTGGATTTTTATCGGTTGTCAAATGCAACTTTGCTAATGCAATGCCTTCAATACAGAAGATCGGAAAGATAAAAATCGATTGTATAACTATTAGAATAATTTTTGTATATGATTATGATAAGTGGTTAAAACGCCACGAGTTGGTCATTCAAAAAGATTGAAAGTCGATATCATTCAAATTACGTACAAAGCGAAGAGGTAAGTGGATGGTCGGAGCTATTGATTAAGAGAGGTAACCTTGTTTCTATCTCATGAAGTCCATGTCTAGAGTCGTCAACCACTCAGAAACATAAAGAAAATATGGTGATATTGAGTCTCCGGAAACTGCTTGACACAAATATTTTAAACAATTTTAAAATATTTCCCTTACTTTTAGAAATGTGAATGTGAAAATACCGCAAATCGAACAAAGAAAAGGACAACTTTTTTAATATCTCACCACTACCGCCAGGACGATTTGCTCTTTTCCCAAAAATAATATCGTACAGATCCTCATAATGTCCTTTAATTTCTATCAGTAATCGACCACGAACAAATCCCATTACCACTATGGATTTTGAGACGGCCTCTAGAAAATTTCAGCTTTATAGAAATCCACTATGCCTACTAGAACACTCTACTTCCTCCACTGCACACATAGTAAAATAAAGTCATATCTGCATCACGTCACAATCCTGTCGTTGATCTCGTCGAAACTTACCTACAATGCACTTGCATTTATACCCAACAAAGGTCTTGTACGTGTTTAGCTCTTCCGCAGATGGCACCAGAACAGGGCAGACACAATTGAACATCCCGAATTCGAACAACTCTGGCGGAAATTCGTAGATTTCACCGAACTGTATTTCATATTGCATGCCTTTATCAATAAGATAAATCTGTAATGTTGTTACATGTCATTTTTTGATTTATCAGATTTTTCTTCGAGATAAAACCGTAAATTCAACCACTTTTTTCTTTTCAAACAGTCTGATAAGTATTGATTACCAAGTATGTTTCAGGCGCAGGTCGTCGAATGATATATGATCTTTCAAACGAGTCTTTCACCTTTACGATGTAGACTTCACCTAAAGATTTGAATGTCTGTACTACTTCATGCTTCTAAGATTGCATTTCAAAACTTTAGCTTCTCGCAAACGGTTGTTGTTCCGATCTGATTCCATTCAGAGCAATTTGCAATAATTGCAAAGGTAATTCCATAATTCTATCCAGATAAAAGTTAATAAAATTACCGGATTTAACTGCAGAGAGAGAGGTGATTTTCTTTAAGAAAGGCACCAAACTCTGGAGCTTGGTATTAATTTTTTCCCACTCCCCCTGCCAAGTGGATAGCCTGACGAAAATCAGCGTTTCGTTTCCAGCCACGACAACATGACCGATTTCGCCTTCGAAATCAGACACCATAGATGGCAAAGACAATACAGCCATTCTCAGACGCTGTTCTGAAAGAATCGCATGGAAGATTGCAGCAAGATCGATATCTCCCAGGAAAATGAAGAAATATGGTCATGTTCCTGATCGTATATATACGTGAAATTAATGCAGTATAGCATTACGGCCACTAAGCGCTCCACCCGTCGCATCACTTCTCAATTTCTCTTTCATCGCACGCCCCCATTTTCTCATCCCTTCAGTCTTCTACGATGCATGACAACCCCTTCTCTCCAAAAGAATTGTGACAATTTGGGCTTTAATAAGAACTGATGGATCTTGCAAAAACAAATAATAGTAGCAGGAAAGAGGACTTCCGAAATTTGCCGTCTTTATGTTAGAGGAATGGTCCTGGAAATCCAAATTTTTTGAAATCCTCGATATCCCCTCATGAAGAAACCACAACGTGCGTACTTCCGGAGTTTTTTTTTTTTAAACAAAACTCCAACACATATTGAAACAGAATTTAAACGACGCTAAACGATTTCTTCCCACGATTAGCTCCGAAAATTCCCGAAATACCCGAAGAGAAAATGATCGAACCAACCACGCTCGAGCAACGCAAAACCCTAGATTAAAAAATAAACCTCTATCAAACACTTTTTAGGCCAACTGTTAGCCTAAAATCATACGGTACGCAACATCCGGTGCGCAACGCTGCCGGAGCTTTACCCAAAACGCGGCAATTTAAATTCTCCCCGAGGCATTGCCTAATGGTGGTGCAGTAGGTAGGTTCTCAGTAGTACTCCACTGCTTTCAGCACCTTGAATTGTAGTCATTCTGAAAATCTCGAAAATCATCCGAGGCTTTTCTAGATACTCCTTGCATAGTTGGTTCCACTGTTCCGCAAGTTCCTATCGCCCACTTTCAGACACTGTCGCCAATAATGGAAGGTTATCTCTCCCTTTGTAATGTTGACTGTCGTCACTGTCGTTGACGACATGATTGACTGTCGTCAACATTACAAAGGGAGAGATAACCTTCCATTATTGGCGACAGTGTCTGAACAATAGTTCTTCTATATACTAGAAATATAGAAAGACAGCAGGAATATAATGATGAAATGATTCTTGCTAGACTTATGAAAAATGAATTTGTAGTTGTCAAAATGTTTGTCATGACAAGTTTCTGCAATGGAGATTTTGTTTGTATTTGTCACATATCTTTTAGAAATGATGGTGGTGCTTCAATAAGATCATCTGGTGATAATTATAGCAGGGTACACTTGTGATATGAAAAGAAAAGAAAATTACAATAGTCCGTACGATAATTGAAAATGTATTGAACCATCAACTGAGGAATATTTAAGAA